CCCAGAGCCTCACGGTGGAATGGCTCGCACTGTTGTTGCTGATGGAGTCCATAAATACTCCTGGGAAAGGGGATGAAGTACATAATAGGTCTTCACCCGCCAGGATCAGGATGGGGGAAATGAATGTCACCCACAGCCAGCTGCGGAAGTACTTTCGGGCAGAGAGTGCTGAATATTGCCTTTGTCCCATCCCACTGTACTTTTAGACAGGGGAGCCCAGTGTGGAGAAAAACAAGGGGAGAAAGAATTGTTCTGAAAGGAAGGGAGTGTCATAATTGAAACTGAAAGGAAGGATAGTGTATAATTACTTGGCCAACAGAAATAAAGATGCAAAAAGACTACTACAAAATGGTTTAGTTCAGAAAAAAGGTTGTGATGAATGAATATACCCATACTGGTTAATCGTTCATTCAGGATAAAAATCTCCCCCCTCCAAAACATGACTCATCATGAAAAATGCAAATGGAAACACAGCACAGTGGGCTGTGTTTCCACAATCAGTTCAGAAATGCAGCAATGAAAATGTGAAGAATATTTCAAAGACCTGAGTTCAGATCTTGACTCCAGTATCCCCTCCACCATGTGTCCACAAGAAAATGACTTAATTTTTAGTTCCATGGTTTCTTTCTTGAAAAAGCAGTGATAATAACAGACCCTAAAAGAATAAATAAAACCCAAAAGGTACAATAGACATTGTGAAAGGGAAAGAAACTGCTCAAAAGGAACGAACAACTGGGATGAAGGAAAGGAGAAAAGAAAGAAGGAAGGAAAATATATATATATATGTATACACAAGGTTAGTTGAGATAATTGTACTGCTGATGTCTATTGGTTTATTGAAAGGAACAGTTAATGCTTCAATTTTTTCACCAATTTTGCATACTTTTATCTGGTAATCTGAACACTTAATTTGAACACAACAATATGCAATACAACAACCATTGTTGAATTAGTACCATCTTGTTTAGTGAAGCTCTGTATCTTTTCCAATGTTTCTATTACTATTTTTATTCTCTTTAGTTGTTTGATCAATCTTGCATTCTTGTATCTGGTAATCTGAGCAATTTTGTTGAAGATAACAATATGTAATATAACAACCATTGTTAAGTCCTATCATCTTGTTTTGAAATCCTGCAACATTTTTATTGTTTTTGTGTTGTTTTGTTTTTGTCTTTGTTGTTGTTATTTTGTTGTTTTTTCTCTAAAACAAAGCAAAAAAACAGAACCGACTTCATGCAACCATTCTGAGGGGTGCACGATATAAGCATGATGAAGATCTTACAATGGTGTCCACACTTAACTGACCAAAACTAACATTCACTGTTAGGTATGCTGCTTGTGCTCCTCCTCCTCTAAGCTGTTTTGTGGTTAATTTCATTAGCCCATGGGAGGAAGACAGGATAAAATACTAGCTGGTACCAAAATATGAGAGTCCCTCTTTTGCACATCAAAATCCAGAAGCAGTATTCTTAGTTATTGCTAGTTATAAAAGTTTAGGAAACAAATGCAAAAGCTTGGTTATGTCACCTAACCATGGTATCCACCTAACATGCTGAATGGGTAGCTTAGTAAGGAGAAAGAAACAAAACACAACGAAGTGATAAAAGCCACTGGACACGGATCTGCATTCAGTTCCATCCTAAGTCTGTGGTGGAAATGAAGGGAACAACAGTAAAGCATTAGGTAGGTTTTTCTCTGTCTTCATCCATGTGGGACCCCAGGCTAAAGGCTCCTTCAATCCTTTCTTCACCTTTGCAACAGTGTGGGAGGAATGGGGTCTGACTGGCTCTTCTAATGCTGCCATTCTCGTGGTTTCATCTCATGAACCCAGAGAGGCCTTGCAAGTTCACCTAGGGTGAGGGAAGGGCCCTCCTGGGTGCAGCATGCCAGCGCAAGCCAACGGGGACTGTGGGCAGGTGTGCACCCGGCCCTGGATGTGGGGCTGGCACAGGTTGCCGAACAATGGAAGCTTCCTGTTCTGGGTGTTAACTTTAGTTACCACAGCCAGACAGTGCTGCCAGTGGTGTGGAAGAAAAAATTGCTGTAGCCAGCTGTGCCGTTCACAGTCGGATGGATTCTGTGTAGCTCCAAATGGTAGTGGAGCCAGCAGCCTGTTGTAGCCAAGGACAGGATGATGGATGAGCTACACACTGTGTCCAAGTAGAGAGAATGGCAGAAGTTCACTTCAGGGTTGTTAAAATGCTAATCTGGGTGAGTTAACAAAAGCCAAACAGAAGAGAAAAGGTTGAGAAATAAGTACCCTTCATGCGGTCTCCACGAGGACCACAGATCAGATCGGCTCACCCTTGGGTACTTTAGGGTTGTTTTTTAAAGTAGGAAGGTTTAGTAGTTTTCCTGTTGGGAAAAATGGAAGCAATTTCAACACTGCCGTGGTCAGGGTCCGAGGAGGGGAACAGCCAACAACAGCTCCCTCAACTGAAAAGTGGTACTGTATGCTTAATACAGTTATGCGATTTTTATTCTCACCATGTGGCATGGGAATAAGTGAACGCACCACCCCCAGTGGAAGTTGGCAGCTGTTCACAAAACCATTGGCATCCTACGACAGTGGCTTTGGTAGATTTTCACGCTGAGCCTCCGCTCACATAAGACCCAGCAACTGCCCTTCTTCCACTCTAATGACAGTCTCAATGCATGAATTATACGAACAGTATACTGTATCATCTTTAATCTTAAAAGCAGGAAGGCTGGACCACAGTAAATATTTGGTGAAGACAATCTTGCTTTAAACTCTTTTGGATTAAACAGTACGCTGCAAAAGAGAGCCAGGTCTTGTGGTTCCAGGTCTTGCCAAGTGATCTGTGTTCCTACTCTATTTCTTTTTACTCTTGCTCACACTGAATATACAGAAACGTGTCTTGCCCATTGGGAGTTGAATCGCTGGCTACCACAGCTCCTGCCGAAGGACAGGTATTCAATAAATACTGCCTGGTTGGCATACCCCAATTGCCTCTTGCTTCCTCTAGAAATGAATCTAGAATGTGCAACCTTAAAGCCTATTAATTGAAATAAAAGACAGTATTTTATCTTACAATATGCTAAGGAAGGAGTTCACCTCCTATGGTTACACTAATAATGGTTAGGCAAGCAGCCAGGCTCTTAGCTCTCCATAAAATCCATCAGAAGAGTGAAAAATGACCCTATTTCAGATGCATTTTTCACTCTTTGTATCTTAGCGAAACTCACATGCAAGAACAATGACTCAGATAATTACCATGGTTCATTATGACGGAGTAGCAAGAAGTGAAGAACTGCTCCAGTTTCACCAGGTCCTTAGCCACTACACCAGGTCCTTAACCACTACAGGCATCTTTGTGAATCAAAACTCTGGTTCTTGTTTCCTAGCCTGTGGCCATAGGAACCACCACACAGGGCTGGAAAGTCCACTTACCCAAATGCAGTCACAGGATAGAGCCCTCTGCAGTCAGCCAGTGGAGTGAAGTCCTCCAGATTTCTAAATTGCTCTCACTCTAAGGACTAGCAGATTTGCGTCACTGCCATCTTTCAAATCCATCAAACCAGGGAGACATGACCAGATGGTGCTATTAGAGGGCACCAAGATTTTTTTTTAAAAAAGAGGGCAAAATGCCCACAAGTCTAAATCAAACTCAAGTTAACCAGCTGTCTGGCAACAGGGAAGTCACAATATTTCTGGCACACCCTCCTGCACCACAGAAATGTTCCTCAAAATAGGTTATCTAGGTAGCATCCCTAGTAGAACTGAGTGTAGGCAGCACCATTCTGTGGGATGCAGTCAGAAACGGTAGCAGGTTGCTAATCGAACTAACTAACCAATGGAAGAAACACATTTTGGGAATCATAAGGGCCTCTATTTAACCGTCTTTGGAGAGCACATTCTAGAGACCTGAACAAAAGCAAAAACACTAACTATGAAAAACAACTCAGCTATGGCTGAGCTGTAGTTTATTTATCTTAAGATGTTTAGGTTCATGGCAATATAGACCCAAATCAGAATTTATCTGGCCGTTTCTGTTTACCCGAGCCCGCGTAAATGTTTGTGTAATATCTACCAGCTTGACAGAATACGCCTGGTACTCACTACATTAAACCTGACTACCCACAACTTAATTTTCTCAGTAAGACACTTAAGACAGTGAGGGCATTTGCTTTTCAACAGCACGAACAAGCCAGCATCAAAACCTATTGATATAAACCCCTGAAAGGACAGTAAAATCCTCCCTGGAGCTGTCTGAGATAAGATTTTGCAATACTATTAAAAAAAGAAGCCTTAGAAATTTTCTTCACAAGGAGTATGTCTCCCATTACGACGGACAGAGCACAAACCAGTTTAGGAAAATGTTAAACCTTACCCGAGGGCTTCATGCTTGAAATAAACAAAAATAATTCACTTTATTACCCCAAATATTAAGCAGAGAGACAAACAACATTAAAAACACAATGCCCACCCTCTTCTACTGCAGACCTAAATTTTTACTAGCCAGAAGTTTGAGGGGGGATTGCCCCAGACAATTTCCCCCAAGTAAGCGGAAACAGTACGGTGATTTTTAAGGGAAAGAGGCTGTAGTGGCAGTTCCAATTACTGTTTACAAAGTCTACCACGGAATCCATAATAATGATCCCCAGCACCCTCGGTGAGACTGGCGAGGCACTGGGACACCAGAATATCCGAGCGCAGCCATGAGTTCCTCTAAGGCTGGGATTCACAGGGGCTGCCACTGCCCCAGCTCCGTGACGTTTAGCTTTTCACAAGTCCAGGATTTAAACAATCACCGGACAGTCACGGTCCTGGTCGGCAACGAGCAAGAATTCCGCAAATCCCGTTTCTCCACATCTCCAAGTCCTTTTATGACCTTTCCCTTCAGTCCAAGAGTTCTCCGTGACATCTAGGGGAAGCTCTAAGCCCTTCCAAATCACCCCAAGGCGGGCTGCTGCGTCCTTTTCTGCAGACTACAGACAAACATCCCCGCTGTCAAGACGGGAAATAAAAGTTTCCCTACCTTCCTGGAACCGCACCATGGCCCCGCGCCGTTGCTCCCTCCCGGCTGCAGGACGCCCCTGGCCGCGCCGGAGAAGCGGCTCAGGCAGCATCGACTGCTCCTGATTTGTTTCCATCCATAATTGATGGGGAGAGGAGAGCGTCACACGTCTCCGCGCGCAGCTCTTGCCGCCTGGCGGAGACCCTGTCCAAGAAGCTTCCGCAACGCATTTGCAGCCGGAGAACAAAGCGCGGAAAGTTGCCGGGGAGAGTGGCCGAGAGGAGTAACTGGGCTCCCGGAGGGAGGCCGGCAGCTCGGGCCGCCGCAGGGGAGGAGACGAGGAGGGTGGGAAGAGGTGGCCCTCCTCCGGGACCGGGCTGGGGACGCGGACGCGGGCGGGGTGGCCCCCGGCGCCCAGCGCCCG